ATATATATATATATATATATATATATATTATAATATATATATATATACATATATATATATACATATATATATATACAAATATATACATATATATACATATATATACATATATATACATATATTATATATATATAACTATATACATAATACAATATACACATACAACAAATACCACACATATATATATATAGTATATATATACTATATTTTATATATATATTAATATTACACACACATTATTACACATTACACATATATACACATATATACACATAACATATACATATACATATACATATACATAACAATAACATATACAATATACTATACATATACATATACATATATATACATATTATAACATTATATATACATATATATCATAAATATACATATATATTACATATATATACATATATACATATATACATATATACATATATACACGTATTACATACTACTAATTATATTATATATATATAATATATATATACACTTACACATAACACATATATACATATATATACAATATATATGTTACTTTTGTAATGGGTTTAAAGCTATTTTGGTGTTGATATCTGTGATTGTTTAAAGTTGATATTTTTCATTGATAAAGATTAGAAGATGTGGTTTTGAATTTTGCTTGGGTTGGGTAAATTTAATCGGTATATAGGAAATGATTTAAAGATATATATTGTAAAAGTGCATAATTCAGAAGTATAAATCTTTGTGTTAATATGTTACATATGCCCATGTATGTATGGAACTATGCTTTTGTTAGTGTATGGTACAAGCGCATGTGTTGCAAGACCAAACAAAAGTTGTTTTAATGCATTATTGTATTCTCTCTATTGCCTAGTGTGTATTGACATATTTGTTTTTACTTGCATTTGTAAGATATTTTAATGATTTATTGACAGACTGTTTTCTGAAGGGAGCATTTCTGGATATACACAAGTGAAATTATTGCCCTAAATGATTAAACACAGCATTCACTTTTTCAGACCATGATTGCGTGGCAGTCACTGGGAAGTTCATTCAAATAGCTACTCTGTCTTTGTCTAATATGGGTGTGGAAAAAGATTACAGTATTTACATTTACATGTACAATCAAAAAGTATAGATTAATAAAGAAATAGATATACCTCAATAATGTATACACAAACTTGTTATTTCTCAACCCCATAGTTCGGTGGCGAGACCCAGACCTTCACGAAGTAATAGATTTCCTGAGCAACCCTAACAATGTAGTGAAAGCCAATGCCGCAGCCTATCTCCAACACCTGTGCTACATGGATACCCCCACAAACAGGAAGACCCCGCATTCTGGGTGGCATCCCTCCCCTAGTGGCTCTCCTGACTCATGACCTTCCTGAACTACACCGTAATGCTTGTGGAGCGCTACGGTGAGTTTGTGTATGGTCACCTGGTTTTAGAGTGCCTGTTGAGTGTGTTGTGTTTTTTTTTTTGTATTCAGCTGGTCTTCAGCTCTTTCTGATCAGTAATGATTGTGAAGGTCTCCATTTTAGTTTGAATATTTGTGCTTAGGTGTATCAGTGTTTTGAAATTATCTTATGTAAAGAAATGGATATATATTTTTTTATCATCACTTATTATATTTGGTGCATCATTCTTCTGATGCCATATCTCTCTCTCTCTCTCTCTCTCGCTCTCTCTCTCTCTCTCTCTCTCTCTCTCTCTCTTCTCCTCTCTCTCCTCTCTCTCTTCTCTCTCTCTCTCTCTCTCTCTCTCTCTCCTCTCTCGTCTCTCTTGTCTCTCTCTCTCTCTCTCTCTTTCTCTCTCTCTTCTCCTCTCTCTCTCTCCTCTCTCCCTCTCTCTCTCTCTCTCTCTCTCTCTCTCTCTCTCTCTCTCTCTCTCTCTCTCTCTCTCTCTCTCTCTCTCTCTCTCCTCTCTCTCTCTCTCTCTCTCTCTCTCTCCTCTCTCTCTCTCTCTCCTCTTCTCTCTCTGTCCTCCCTCCCCTCTCTCCCTCCCTCCCTCTCTCCTCCTCCCTCTCCCTCCCCTCCCTCCTCCCTCCCCTCCTCTCTCCCTCCCCTCCCTCTCTCCCTCCCTCCCTCTCTCCCTCTCAACCTTTCACCCTCCCAGTATTTCCTGTATCTCCCCTCTCCTCTCTCTTCTCTCTCTTCCTTCCCTCATTACAACCCCCTCCTTCTTTCCCTGCTGTCTAGCTTTTAAAACCAAAACTCTTCTTTTAAGGAATTTGTCATATGGACGGCAGAACGATGAGAATAAGAGAGCCATCCGAGATGCCTCTGGCATTCCCTCACTAGTCAGGCTTTTACGGAAAACTCCAGACAACGAAGTGAAAGAGCTAGTAACAGGCATTCTCTGGAACTTGTCTTCTTGTGAAGTAAGTATTTAGAAAGATTGTCTTCGGAAAAAATGAAAGCTATTATATGTGCTATATGCATATTTATCAAAGGATGCTTTATTTTTGTCTTGTATGCAGGTATAAGAATTTATTTTAAGACTTTAGATGTTATTACTATTATGATTTATTTAATTTTTGTTGTTATTGATATTATATATATTTTTTAAGCATCTTTGTAATGAATCTCCAGGTGATCATTTCTCCTCATGTTCTCCTAACCTCTGAATTTCAGGATTTGAAGCATAACATTATAGATGATGCTCTGACTGTTATTGTAAGTCATGTGATCATTCCTTGCTCGGGCTGGGATGGTGGGGATGTCGAACGGGATCCCAATGTGGATGTGTGGTGGTCTACTGTATTTAAAAATGCATCGGGTGTTTTAAGGTCAGTCAAATGTGTGTTATGTTTTCTGGATATTTCTAACTTATCTAGGGGATAAGGTTCTATACTGCTGATTTAGTGTTTGATAGTTTTTATTTTGTGTTTGTACCTAAAGCTTCAAATTGTTTTCAACCTGTTGGATCCTGGTACCTCATGTGTGGACCAAAATCCAAGCAATTGGCCCATACTTGCTCTTTGCAATGCTATTAAGTCTTTGACTGCATATTTTGCCATTCCTCAATGTCTATATTTGTCATTGATTATGCTGTATCAAGATGGTACTAGACTGTTTTCCTTAAGCAGATTCCATATTAATTGTTTGGACTACATAGTGTTATTTTGTGTCATTTTAGAATATTTTTGTATTATTAAATTTTTGGTAACCCACCCTGCACCACTGGTCATAGTGAGCAAGAATAGAATTTTGATCATGGAAATAGTATCTTCCCGGGAATCAACACTTCCAGCCACGGCTCATGGATGGCACATTCCGTCCTTATTATTCATAGAAATAATGCAAGAGCTCCTGCTTAAATGCCCACTGAGTCTATTCAACCTCTCAGTTCCTTTTGCAGTCATGATGTGTCATTCTCATCACCCTAGCACTCAGACAAATTATTCATGATGGCACAGTCCTGTCACCCTGTCCGTCAGCCAAATTTTTTCCTGATGGCATTTTCTTGTCGCCTGGCCTTTAGCCAAATTTTTTCATGGCTTACATGACTTGACAGTCACATCACCTGGATCCAGTGGGTTAACTGATGTTCAATGTGCAGTTGCACTCATTATCAGTAGTGAAAGTACTGGTACCCTATACCAGGATTGTACACCCTGTATACAGGGTATAAAGTTAAAGTCTTACGCATGTCTCCACTGACCACTTACTTAGGATTTATTGGTATTGTTGTTTTTGATATTATTATTATTATTATTACTATTGTTATTATTATTATTATTATTGTTGTTGTTGTTGTTGTTATTGTTGTTATAATTGTTGTTATTATTGTTATTATCATTATTATCATTATTGTTATCATGATTAGCATTATTGTTATGGTTGTTGTTGTTATTGTTATTGTTATTAAGATTTTTAAAGATTAATGTTACTGTTATTGATAGGTATTGTTATTGTCATTGTTGTCATTATTATTATTATTATTATTATTAATGGTAGTAGTAGTAGTAGTAGTGATAGTAGTGCTAGTAGTGGTAGCAGTGCTAATAGTGGTAGCAAAGCTAGTAGTGGTAGCAGTGGTGGTGGTAGTAGTGGTGGTGGTAGTAGTGGTGGTAGTAGTAGTAGTAGTAATGTTACAGTTACTGTTATTGTTTTGAAGGTAATTATGATAGAAATGGTAATGATGCAATGATAATGATTATTTGATATACAATGCATATACATTTGTGCAAAGATACATTCTTTTACAGGAATATAAGTTCTGCTGGCGAATATGCGCGAACGAAGTTACGTCAGTGCAATGGTCTAGTGGACTCACTACTCACAGTTATTAAGTCTGCCATCCAGGGATCTTCCCACGATAACAAGAGTGTTGAGAACTGTGTTTGCATCCTGCGGAACCTTTCCTATCGCTGCCAAGAAGTTGAGGACCCTAACTACGACAAGAACCAGCCTCCAACTCAGTCTCGGGCCACAGCCACAGCGAAGGGTAAGCTTGGATGAAATGGTTGGTTAGTCAGAGAAAGAACTTGAGGTGTTTCCTTTGGAAGTGGTTTTCTTGTAATTGTGTGATTTGACTGTTTTTCTTTTTCTTTCTTTAGAGATTAATACATCCTCTGTGGAAATGTTAATGAAAAGATTTTTTTTTAATAAACAATCATTGCTAGAATAGAAAAAAGAATAGTGGTGAAAATTGGGGATATTCAAATGCCTTTTTTATTTGACATATTTTCTTTATTTACCTGGTTTATTCTCAAATCAGGTCATGGGTGATATGCATTATATTAATATACTCTATTTGAAATACAGAGTGACGAGCCATCTTAGAAATAGAATATTCCTGGAAAAGAATTACCTGCAGATGACATGAAATCTCAATCTTTTCTTTTGTTTTTAAAGGTTGGGTACTATCCTAGATGAATGATAATACAGACATCATTATATTGCTACATATGATAAAATTATAAGCAATGGTATCATGTGAGTATATTATTGCTTGGAGGAAGTAAGCTGTTATGAATAATATAATGTTATACAAAAGTACACTTACAG